CTTTAGTGGCTATAATATCAAAGTATCGTTCGAGAAATTAGAATTGCTCATCACTAATAAATTATTCGAAATGTGAAGTATAATAGTAAAATTTGAAGCATTACACTGTGAAAAAAAAAGATTGGCTGCTGCAGCAAATTAGATGGTAAAATATGACCTAGCATTTTTAATCGGCTATCCATCCTATAATATACTGACATTGCGGATAAGCTAACGCAACCAAAAATTAACTGCAGCCAATTAAAAATGCTATGCTATATTTTACCATCTAATTTGCTGCAGCAGTCAATCTTTTTTTTCAGTACAAAATACAAATAATAAAATCTGATACTGTTGAAGTGTTTGGCTTTCATATGCATAAATTATGGTATGTAGATATAAGTAATTATACACGTAAAGCTATTAATCACAAAACAAAAGAAGAGTTTCCAAAACGTGGTACGCGTGATCATCTATATTCATATAGGTTTCAATCGGCATCGTACGTATCGTGTGCATGCATAACTACGAACAATTCTCATGTGTCTCAAATACACAGTCTTCTATTTCTTCTATAAATCAAATTTAAAATTAAACATTAGAAGTTCAATCTTTGTATATTTTTAATATTAAATTTCTTGAATGTTATATTTTATTTCTATTTTTTGAAGCATAATTTCACAACGTTCTCAATTTATTGGTTTATTATTTGTACAGTTTTTACCGATAAATAATTCAATAAACATGTTTCTTTCTTTTAATATTAATGTGTAAAAGAATATTTCTCGTGTATTCTATCCATTTGGTTTTATGACGCGTGGCATCAAACGACCCTGTGGAGAATCGTTCCGGTACAACAATCGCGAAACTATAATTCTTTACCGGGAGTTACGAGTCATTAAACAGTTTGGCGCTAATTGTTTGATATTTGCTAGAACATAAATTAAGATTGAAATGTGTAGGCGTTAATCTATATGGACGTTGGTCAACCGCAGCAATTACATATTCGCAACAATCGCAGCAACCCAAGTATCACAAACGGATGTTTGCAAATATTATCGACGCTTAAACATTGTCCATAATCCAAGTTGTTCCACTTAAACGAGCAACGCACTATATAGTTAACTCGATTTTAATTGAAGTCATAATATATGCCTTTATCGCGGATTTAACGACCGGGGCTGTCTTTGCGCGCTTCCTTCTTTTAACTCATCTCCCACAGCCAGTAGGATTACAATTGACACCGTGACACTGCACACCCGTTTTGAATTATGAGACTCGGCACGAACGTCCTCTTTCAAGCTACAGCTCCAACGGGATTTCTCTTGGGATAGGTTCAGAAAGAACTTTTCCTAAAAATGTTAATCTTTCTCTTTGTCACATATACACGTAATATCATTATTCACTTTAGAAACTATTAAATTTTAATTTCAGTAATTTAACTTTATTTTCTCTTTAATTTTATTAAAATTTCTAGAAGTGTGTAGATGTATACTGAATTTCATATCTACTGCGGGAAAAACAAGTAGATTTGTCACCATCACTTCATCTGCATAAAATCATCTCTTCGGTCTCAACACGACAAAATGATGATCATATCAATATATTCATTGATGAAACGTTTATCTCTACCAAGTAGAACACGACTAAAAAAAAAACAAAGACTTATAAGATTCACTGACGATCCGCTAATAATTCATTCAACCGGAACGTCTCACACTTGTCAAAAAATTGTATAATTTGTTACTTAGGTGGTCACGCACAGGTGCGAAACGTTACCTGCAAGAGCAAAGGATTCGATAGCATCTTCATATTGATCGGCACGCCGTTCATCTAATAATCAGGCAGTCTGAAACGATTGCTGTCAACATTGGAACTGGAAGCTTGGTGCAGCGATGCGTTTAATCCGGCAAAAACGATCGGCGGAGTTAACGAGCCGCGAACAGCCTTGAAATCGGTATTGGGTTTGCTCATGCTATTCATGTCTTGTCGCGATGATGATCATATATCGCTCACGCTTTTGCTGCAACCTTGAAATTTAATATAAAATGCTGAGATAAATCTTTTCAAAACGCGATTAAAACATTTTTTATTATTAATATAAAGTCGTACAAAGTTTGTAAAAAAATGCTTAACGAATAATAATTGCGAATACAGTTATAACTACGGAAAGATGTAAAATAATAAAAAATCCACAATTATGTCATAAAATTCCTAACGAATTTTTGCGAGTGACTTTTTTGCAATAATTTAAATTACTTTTTCTTCTTCTTTTTATTAAAAGAATATATATAAATAAACGTTACATATTATACTAATTAACTGATAAATAATCCTTTTCTTTATTCTGTTTTGATAGAAAGATACATAAATCGATTACCATCATATTATTACGAATGATAATACTAATTGATCACAGCTATACCGGTTAGAGTTACGAAACGAGTTATTTCTTTTGTAGATCCATTAGCGATTTTTTGGTTACTCACGGAAATGAATCGTGAAAGTCACGGTTATTAACAAGTAGGACAAAAAACGAGGCATGATTTTTTATGTTCTTCGTTTTCTAAAACAAAAAAAATTATCGTACTCAACAGAATATCATTTAAAATATAGCAAATCAGCTACGAAAAACGGTAGGCTTAACCCCTATAGATCTGAATTAAATTGAATCATTAAAATAAAAAAAATTTAGTCTAAAAACATTTATTAAAACAATTAGAATAAAAACACTTTAATTTTTCAAAATTTAATATGTGCACATATAAAAGCACTTTAATAAGCAATTCATACTAAACAATTGATTTTTTCGAAATTTGAATTATTTTTTATAGAATTAAATAATTTCAATGGAAAATGCTTTCAAATTTGATGTACATTATAATATGCGCCGGCTCTGAAGGGGTTAACATTTTTTTATAATAGATTTTTAGAACAATATTTTTATTATTGTTGAAAACTAATTTTTAAAAACTGGAATTTGGATCCTGATAATTTGATCCTGATTACAAGGATTATAATAACTGTGTAAATACGTAAATATCATGTAGAATGTAAAGCAAGGAATTGATACGCTTCTGTCAATCTGTGCGTGACGTTAATATTTCCCATTCATAACTACGGTTATCTCTGTGTCCATTGCAACTACGATTACACAGCTATACGCAGCAATATTCCCGATAGCGAAACGCATTCATGATTTCACGTCGCATACCGCATCTATTTTCCGTGGCTCAATTACATAAACTGCGACATGACTTAATGCTATACCGTTATAATAACTAGCGTCCCTCGATGACAGCATTATTTAAATAACCGGAAAAAATCGCTATAAAAAGAAATTACTCAAATAGACCATCTATTTTATCAAAAAAGCATTAAAAGATTTCATAAACGAGTTTTTACCCCTCTTTCTGTGTTATGTCTATACTAAAATAACAAATTTTGGCAATATAAAATTTTCAATATCGATTTCAAATACGATTCTTATATCTAACTGATGAATTTGTTATCTTTATTTTAATAATCGACGTATATTGTGTGCAATTTTCACTTATTTATATATACTTTAAATTGTTAATATTTGACATGATCTCTTATTACAATTATTAGTTTTATGGTTATCTCTTATTCGTCATATAGAATTGATTTTGAGTAAAAAGCTTCATATTATTAGATATATAAAAACTGATAAAAATCAAGTAAAAATAAAAAATATTATTCTTTTTGTCGGAAAGAGTAAATTAATTAATAAAAAAATTTTTTACATTATATGTATGGCTCCTTTCTGACTACTTTTTTTTTCAAATTTTGCTTTGCAAAAAGAAGCCGATATATATACACGTCTTAATTGAAAATTAAATTTCTCTTCTCAAAATCTTCTCAAGACTCTAGATATTCACAATCTATTATATTAGATTGTTTCGTAAACATTCTTTTCTTTTTAAAACGTATTTTTCAGAAGAAATCAATATTTACTAAGAACACTATTAGGATTCTTCACAAAACGTTTAGAAATAAAGCTCGAAAAGACTTGTATATACACTTTCAAACGACAAACGTACACTTGTGAGAAACGGCATAAATCACGTGGATGTTAACTCTTGTTAGCATAATAGCCATACAGTTTTTACTATCGTGTTCAAGATTACAGTTATAAACGTTAATAGACAAAAGTGGATATAATAGTTCGGCTTTTTACTTTTACGCGATACCTTATTCGTGTCGTTAATTATTACCGTTCAGCATAACTCTATATAATCCGTATATCACGCAAATGGATGCACATAAATCGCATTGCGCGACACAATGCTAGACATTCATTGTATTTATCATCTTTAGATTGATTATACGTGCCGTATGTTAGGATTAAAAGCTATCTTTGCGAATGTACCGGTATAACTATCAGTTATACATATTCGTAACTATTAATATCGGTTTTCACGTTACACTATTATTTACTGTCTCGCAATAGTCTTTGAATTAAGAGATTTAAAGCAAACGACAAAACACATAAAAGATGCCAATACCGATCTGAAGAGGTTTACTACCTACTATTTCAATTAATATCTGTTCGGCGCACAAACACATCTTCGTTTCCTATACAGTCTGTGAGTGCTCTACATTTTCATACTGGTACTACAGGCAGGCAATATCACTATTTTATTGTTTGCTCTAATTTTTACACGAGATTATTGCTATTTCCTTGCAATTTCGCGCCGCATGCCGCGTAATTCTAATTTTCACGAACGCTCACGTTTGAAACTTCATAATCATGATTTCTCCTAGCAAATCAATTTTGCGCTCGAGACCTCCTTAGGATTCGAAGCGCAACCTGGCAGACGCGGTGCCCGGTTAATTTGCTCGCCAGACCATGGTAGTCGGATAAATTAAAATGGATCCGGTTTCACCACAAGTGTAACAACTCGCGCACAACGAAGTTAATGCGGAGACTAATGCGAGACCGTGCGTTTGTTTTTGCAGGGCAGGACGGTGTTTCGTCGTGAGAGGCTGGGACCTCCAGGATGCCAGGGGTGTGGAAGTTGCTGCGTACGCTGATCTACATAGTAAGTGCACACGGCTGATTTACAATTGGACAAACGCCAACGGGTTAATGATCGGTTTCCGATTGATACAATATAGCTTCCGACTTTTTAATTTTGGGTTAGTTCCAAACTAACGTCCTATATATATATATATATATATTCGTATTTACCGGATCAAGTAGGTACTCTGTCACTTTACGTTGTTCCGATTTTTAAGCGACACATCAAAGATTAATGTGACGTTTAATACGCTTAGATTAAAAATATTTATCTGTAATATTAATTCGGTTATATATACAATTTCCATTGATTAGATAGAATGCAGATAATCTATAAAATTGAGACATAAGACGTCTTATGTCTCGATTTTGAATAATTTGCGTTGTCTGGAAAGATATACAATAAATAACGATGCATCCGAAGTATCGATTTATCCGTCCTTAATTGGAAAGGTTCATTAGCGCGGTGTTACATTGATGTCGATAGATGAAATATCAGATTCGCTGTCTTAATAAACGCGCAACAAGCAGCGCTAAGAGGGACAGGAGCACAAACAGCGGTGTATCGTCTAGCGGGGTCGGCATGGCGTTACATAGGCACGAGATACGAGACTCGCACGAGACTCGTGACTTGCGTTTTGTCCCGCGCGTCTTCTAGCGGTTTTCTTTTGTCGGTCAATTAAGCCCTAGAGCCGTACACACTGTCAATCGACCGACCACCGTGAGCCGCGCCGATTCCGATAATGGGCTATAATTTCAAGTGTGTTTGGCCAATGATGCGACGCCGCGCCGCCGCGCCGCGCCGTAGATCTTATAATTAATGAGTAACGGTCTCACATGACTCACACTTGCGGGCCAAGCCCGGAGTATCGTAATGGTCATTCGATCGCCTAATAACCGGGATATTATGGATTTAGCCAGAAACCAAAGATCGTGGAATATCGAGCAGGAGATAAAGAGGCCCGTATCCTTTCCACAGTGGCGGCCGTCTTATTACCGTCGGGAATTCGCGTTTCCATTTAAATGACAATGCGATGACGCGGCAGGAGTCGTCGCGACAGCTTGCAAGCGGATATTCATGCCTACTCTAGGTACCGTTACCGTCGTCTTCGGCTCCCTCTCCACCCAGTCCCATTCCCCTCATTCCTTCTTACGTTATTCAGAACTCCACGTGAAACCTATCGTGTAGACGGTACCATGCGTTTCAACGCATCCATCTCCGTGACCTTGCAATATAGGTGCGCGTCTCGTCCGTAAACTCTGTCGACAAAATAATTATATATATTAGAATTTCTTATGACGTAAATCGGGGCAGAGACGAGATTAGAATCAAGAATACCGTGGCGGTCTGTAATTTAATAAAGACCGGTAAAATCGAATGCTAATCCATACGTAAGCTTGCAAAGTAGAAATCGTTGTAGCCAATAGCGACCGAGCCATTGTATAGAACTGTACTTCGTGGTCCACGATCTTTATCGCCGAGTTTATCCAAGATAAGCCAGTAGCTTAGAGCGGAGATTCCACCACTGATTACATTACCGTAATACGAATCTCCAAAGGATTGAGGATGGCGGTCTATAATTTAATAAAGACCGGTAAAATCGAATGCTAATCCATACGTAAGCTTGCAAAGTAGAAATCGTTGTAGCCAATAGCGACCGAGCCATTGTATAGAACTGTACTTCGTGGTCCACGATCTTTATCGCCGAGTTTATCCAAGATAAGCCAGTAGCTTAGAGCGGAGATTCCACCACTGATTACATTACCGTAATACGAATCTCCAAAGGATTGAGGAAGGTCAGTAAAATCGGCCATAAGACTCACCATTCGCAACGACCCCGATCCTCCTTCTTACGATCGGCACACGCGAGCATGCGGCCATCGAGGCAGCTATTTCCGCTGTCACGAGTACAATTGACTATCCGCAGACGGGCATTAGCATTCGAACGCCACCGGTGCCGCGATGGGAAACTCACCTACCAATGTGCCTCACGTTAGAATAACTCGGAATACCAATGCACACGAGGTCGTAACCGAGTGCCGAGAAGTCGTAAACCGCATCTTTTACTTCTGCCCACGGCGGTGTCCATGTGGTGCAATACAAATATTATTTGTCAACTTTTACGCGTTTTAAAGAGCGAGAATATACCCTCACACAGCAATGTGTGTACTAACGAAGTTCTTGTTCCCTTTTTTCTAACAACATTAAATTATTAACGATAAAGATGCCAATATCTCCATACCGTAGGAAATTATTGGAGCGGCAGATAAAGATGCTGGTATATGTAACTTGTAGGGGTAGTTCTGACATGAGTCAATGATCGCGTACATCGCAACGCAGCGCGGTGCCGCAGCACAACGCACTCGACAAAAAGGGTACGCGCCGTGCGTATACCCGCGTCCGCCAGGTGCGTAATCATTTCTAATGAAACGTTGTCATTTAACAGTGCGATTGTAAGAGCGTAGAAACGTGTTTTCACTTGCGCGAAAAACGGCGACCGTTAATGCAGCGGTAAAGACGCTTCTCCCGTTACGGCGAGACCGTGCTCGCTCGTTCACGTAGTGTCTAGGATTTTCTAAGACCTCAAGCTAAAAGCGCATGTGTGTAGTATCCCTTAATTTCGAGAAACGTTTAGAGCAAAGATAGGTTTAATGTTCCATTGGACTATCGACGGTTTCACGATTATCTCACGAGTATCCGTGATATGATGTGCTATTATAGTATACAATAGATTCATCGTTTAAGAATAGACAATAAATCCTAATTGTATAATAAATAATTAATATTACGCGATCAGCTGCTTATTTGTGAATATAAAAATAACAAGTATAATGTATCAATGTAACACACACGTATAGGCGCATATTAAGAAGTAGAATCTAAATCAGGTTTAATAGACCAAGCATATTGTTCTACTTGTAAAATTACATTATAATGGTAATACTACAAATGCATCTCTGAAAATACACATAGCTATGTCACGAAAGATATGTCATTTAAGACCGGTTTCTCCATCTTCAGGTAAACTATACGGTAATTTACTTACTGGATAAACAAAAAATAAACGAGTAAGAAAGTAAGACAGCGAGCTGAAGTTTACCAAAAGATGAAACAATCGAGCCTAATTGAATTAAAAGATTCAATAACAGTGTAATATTAAAATAATAAATGACAAATTCAATTATCACGATTCAATTTTTTCAAGCCATCCTATTCATTCGGTATCGCCGTGATCAAAAAACAGTTGCTAATAATATTGTAATTTTGCTAAATATTTATACGAAAATAAATAATGCTTGCAGTTTAATGTTTGCGTTTAATGCAGAAAATAAGCAAAATTTTAAGATAAAAGTAGTATATATGTCGTGCTTAATTTAAGATAGACTCTTGTCGCACGGCTCGTGTCTCGTGATTACCTCGTATACCGGCATTAACGGCGAAGCAAGAGGTATACGCGAGATTGTCAGTTTCGATTGAGCGTGGAGAGGTATTTATGACTAAATCGTATGGATTATCTTGGGTCTAATGGACGGGCGGAGCGAAAATATACGGGTACTTAAGTTTTCATTACAATCCCATCCTCGGAAACTTCTCTAAATGCACTGCGAGTACAAAAAAAGAACTTCTTGCTATTACGGTAATGAACTTGATTTATAGCCAACAATTTTCAACGTGAACGTTTGAGGACGAATGTTTCAATTAAACTGACCTTCTCTCTCATCTCTAGGAATAATTTTATATAGTAATATTGGGTTGGGGGAAACATTTCTTTACATATATGTAAAACGACATTTATTTTACAATATCTTCATTAAAAATGAACGAAATTTAAATTTAAAAAAGGATTTTAAAGCTCGAAATCTCTACTTTCGAAAGGATACTATATTATTTTAGTATCTATTGATAATTTTTACATATGAAAAACTATAAGCTGAAAAATAGTGAAACTTTTTCTCACTTTGTGGGTCTTTCAGGAGCCCAAAAAAAATTTGCAAAAATTTTCGACTACCTATCGTGAAAGCTTGTAGCTCTTTTCCTGCAAAATCATTTTTTACAAATGTTCCTACGTTTTTTGTTCCTGGAGTTATTCGCGAATAAAGTGAAGGAGCATTCTGATTTTTTGATTGCTTATAATTCCAATTATTGCAATTAAAAAAACAGATTCTTAAAGCTGAAATTTTTCTCTATCTATACAATTGCAACGAAAATTTCGCAATAAATAGATTGAGGAAGGTTTTTTTTTTACGTAAAGGGACTTTTTCCCCAATATTGTGTTAAGATAATCAATTTGTTTATTATTAACAATTTATAAAATATTCCTTTTAATTACGGATACCGCAGATGGATTAGAAGAAATCGAATGTTTATTAAGCTATAAATACTAAAAATACATTTACATCAATTTACGTAAAAACGTTTTAGCTTATCCATCTATAACGATCGTAACGTCTCGGCTATGTTTTTGTCAGATATCAAACAATCTTGGAGTATACTTTCCGATTCATGACCTTCCTGATGTGAACTCTACCGCAGAGTAATTTTCTTGTACCGGGAGGAAAATAGGATCGGCAACCGATTCCTGCCGTTTTACGTACGTAACTTTGAAGCCGCGAGCTACGTACATATACATCGTATATAAGTACGTGTCGGACAATGAGCAGGAAACGAAGGGAATGAAAGAGAAAGAGGCGGAGAGAAGAAAGGTCATATAAGTTCAAAGAAGAATATTCAACGTACAATATTCTTTAAATACGCAGATGGTTGGCTTGAAGAACGTTAGTAGCAACAGCGACATTTGGCCGTTGGAGAGGCCAGAGGGCATGGCGGCCATCCAATCTTTGGAGGTGATGTGCGGAAAAGATCATATGGACGTCCATCTCTCGTTCTCGCAACCCTTCGAAGGTATCGTTTCGTCTAAAGGTCAACACGCGGATCCGCGTTGCATCTATGTTCCACCGTCCACCGGGCAAACGTTCTTTTCCTTCCGGATAGCGTACGCGAGGTGAGTGCATGAAATTGAAACGAAAATGTATCTGTACTAAGTACTAGCATGGATAGATATTAAAAATTTTATTGTTAGGAACTCTCATCTACTCTTGCATTGTATCTATATAATTTACGAGAGATACGACAATATTATATTATGGCACAGTTTTTAAGTAAAGTTATTTACCTTTCTCAACTTTGATAAAATTGTAATACCTGTATATTTTAAAGAGACTGTAGAAAACATTATTACATTACTGACATTTTTTTCGCTTCAGATGCGGTACGAAACCGGACATGCACGGACAGTTTTATGAAAATACCGTGGTGGTCCAATACGACAAAGACTTACTTGAGGTTTGGGACGAGGCTAAACGTCTGCGATGTGAATGGTTCAACGATTACGAAAAGACCGCGTCAAAACCACCGATGGTGATCGCAGACCTCGATGTGATACAGCTGGATTTTAGAGGTGCGAGCATCTTACGATTACGCTCCCATCAAATGCTATTTCTTAATGGAGATAAATCATCGACACACATTCTCCGAGCTCTCATGACGATACTATTGAAACGACCGCATGACATCCGCGTGCACGAGAAATTCTCCTTCGATTGCCATCTGTTGCTGTAAACAATCTTTAGACAGAATTATGTGCTCTCTAAGAGTTTCGAGTTTATTTGAAATATTGCAGTTAAATATCCAAGTGAACGTGCAATGTTCCTCTATGATCATTTTCCATTAAAGCAGCACATATGAATACTTCGCTTTTGAACGTGCATTACGAGGGATAGATAGCGGTACATTTAATGCGCGCAAACATATCACGAGATATACACGCTGCAACTCGTGCACCCGTTTGCGGTTGGCCACAGGTGAAGCCACAGTCACATCGGTTAATTTGTTTATGTAACATGTATAAAGCGTGACACGCGCGGAAATATTATATAGGGTGCTACACAAAGAGAGAAGAATAATTATATCACTAAATTAACTAATATGCACTCCTTTCCTTCCGGAATACAAATTACACAATTTCCATAATTCTACTTGATGATATGTGGCTATGTTTTAGATTTTGTTTTTTCGTCACGAATAACGATCCATCACTGTTCACAGTAAAGCTTCAAGATTGATTCGAATTTAACGCTATCCGGATTACAAACAAATGTAATGCTTCAAATTCGGGTTATCCGGAAATACGAATTTTCTAAGATATTCGAATCTCAATCCGAATAGTAAAAGTCGAATTCAGATCCGAATTGCGGATTCGTAGCAAACTTATAGCGAATTCGATTGGCCGGTTTTACTTACCTTACTTCTGTTTTATTGATATCACATTATAATATTGAATAATATTACTACGATTCTTTATACAATTTTAAATGTTTCATTTTCTGATTTTTTGTGTTTTAAAAAACCTTTAAAATAATCTCATTTTATGGTTACAATTTTCCCTTTTGTAAATTAATTTAATAATACAAATTAATAATTTATATAACGTAAATTAATTTTTACTATTTAAAAAGTAACTTATGTTAAAAGTCATTGACGTTTTTTTTTCCATTTTGGACGTGAATCTAAATTCGGATCCAAATCTGAATTTAGATCCGGATTCGAATTCAGATTCGCGGATCCGAATAACGCAGATATCCGGATAATATATACGGTTTATACGGATTAGAACCGATTTCGGATATCTGAATATCTAGATATCCGAATACTTAGAAACCCTAGTTTACAGGCGATAACGTGGACTGCTGGATGGAAATTCAACACGGCAAGGGTCCATGGGCGCCACCCGTATCCGGTATCGTGCCACTCGGTTCTACTCTTACTCTGGTCGTCGCCATAAACGATTATCGAGGTAACGAGTTCTTCAGAAAAGAACACGAAACTTTCCGGGCGATTGGACGAGCGCACTAACGTAATTTTCTGTTATTTAACCGAGCACAGGTGAGTTTGACATGCGGGTCAAGTCGTGCGTGGCTTCAGACGGCGGCGGTCACACGATACAGCTCAGCGACGAGTTCGGCTGCGTGCTAAGACCGAAGATGATCAGCCGGTTCTTGAAGGCACGCGGCTCAGACGACCGTGCGACCGTGATCACGTACGCCTTCTTCCACGCGTTTAAATTCCCAGACGCGTTAAGCGTTCATATCAAATGCAAGGTAATAATGCATGATTTTTATATAGATTAAATCTGATTGTTGGTCAATCTCTCTTAATCGAGAGATTATCTTAATTGAGATCTCTCAATTAAGATCATTGTCTGTCATTTATCTTTCGAATTTTCATTAACAAGTTTAAAAACATTTGTGTAAAAAGGTGGAAATATGTCGGCACGGTTGTCTGGATCATTGTCAATTGAGCGGCTCTATAGCTCATTATATTCAAGAAAGAAAGGATCATATACGACCGCAGTATATAGAGAGTATGACAACTTCCATCCCGTCCAATGACAATGATAACAGTAGCTCGGACAAAGACAACGAAGACTCGGATGGTAATGGCAATGTGGAGCAGGGAGATGGTTCTTCGTACGATGATGTCATTCAGAATGGCGACGATATGACGTCGATCGGCGGACATTTCCTAGATGTTGAAAAGTCGATTCCAAAAGCTCAGGCACAGACGAGTAACCGGTTACCATCGGCTGTGACTGAAACGCAGCACGATAGCGAGCCGGATGATGTCGATTTATCGAAACCATTTATGGTAAAAACCATTTAACGCAAAAACAATATATGTATCTCTCTTAATCGATCGACACACGTCATAAAACTACACCGCCTGCTTCTTTTTAGGAACCGTCGCGAGTGAATAGATACGAGAACGAACAGGATCAGTTCCCGCATGGACCGCGAAATCTGGAGGAGGACAGCGGCGCGGTGCCGGTGACGCCGCTCTCCGCCAGCGTCACCCGTCGAAAACGCTCGGTGACGGTGACGGATAGGAAAGCACGTAGCGCTGACGTCGGTGTCAGCGGTATTTACGAGGTCATCTCCGAAGCGGATCTGGCCTTCAGTCCGGATACGCACGCCGAGGCGGTGACAGTTTTTCAGGGCAGAATACGCGAAGAGGTCGTTTACGGGATCTGTCTGCCAATGCCGGGTTTTAGCGCGCTTTTCATCGTCGTCGCGCTCTCGGCGGTCGTTTCCGCCCTCGTTGCAGGCGCGATGCTGCATCGGCTGCAGGCGCAGCGGGACGTCACCACCGGCAGCAGAGAGAACGACCAAACTGGAGTACACGCCAACAACAACGGCTGGTTGCCTTACGGCTTGCTCCGCGTGCGCTGCACGACGCGACCCACTCACCATCCCAACGAGCTGCAACAAAAACAGTCAAACATAGCTTCGCAGGTTGCTGCAGATTCATCGGTCGAGCGAGGCTGACGACACCTTAATCTCGGCCTTAAGACGCATAGGCCAGGTGCGTCTAAGGAGAGACAATGTGCAATAATACGCTGTACAAAGTATCGTAAGTACATCGCTGAGCTGCGTGCGATTATAAACAGGCATTTATTGAGAGAAATACGCAGAGATGAGCTGGAGGAAACAGAACACCATTATATTTTGGTACTATTGTTCGAGTATCCTCCTGCGAATCGCGCGACGACACCAAATTCTCGCGCGAATCGCAGTCGCACGAGGACTCTATCTCTGGTAGGTATTTGCGTTACTCTAATTTTATCCAAGTTATTTTGTAACTTGCGTAACGTGAATATCATCTCAATCTCGTAACGCGATGTTTTTTTCAGTCGTTATGTCGCGTGTCGTAGTTTTCAGTAATCAATTAAACACTAATAAATACCGCATTGTTATGAATATTTCTCATGAATATTATGCAATGGCGATATTATACCCCTTTTTATAATTTTCTTTATAAATAAATTTATATAATAATTTTTATAATAAATAAATGAATTGTTATAATTTTTAAAAAAACCTTTTAAAATAATTTTAAATGTATATATATATATACAGAAATTATGCATTTCGGGGATTATCTCCACATCACTTCATCAGGGCGAGGAATGTCTAAGTCCTTCAGATACAATTCTTGATACGTAACACAATAAGTTGGCATTCTAAGAGTGAATTTTGACACGGAGATAATCCGCAAAACGCATAATTTTTGTATAGAAAATGCTCATGGAAGCCTCAAGAGTATTATTTTAAATAATTACCGTTAAAGAATAAATATTTGAAAATATTTTGCTCTATGGAAGATACAATACAGATTATAATACATATATACATTAAGAAATTGCAAACGGATATGCTATAAAAGTGCATTTATTGAAAACGTCTAAAATTTAAAATAAAATCACAGTAATAATGAAAAATTATTAGAATAATTTATCGTTATAGTAAACAGATCGCATTTTTGTGAAAATTTTAACAATAATGATTATAACAATAAAACTGGGTATATCGTGAAAAAAGTAACTTAAGAAATTATAATATCGGAAATGTTCATAATTATTGTATTAGTAGTATATTTATTAGATTAAAATATTTTGTTATACGAATAGTAAAAATGATACACAGCTATGATTACTCTGACGCATCGAATTATCTTCTCAAGATTTCGATGCATTCAGAATTCTATCAACAAATACACCAAGGGTTACAAAGCGTTGTCTATAATCTAAATAAATTCTATTTAGATTATTATCAGGTATCGTTATACTGTTTATGAGTCTTAGGATACTGATTGTGAATCGTGTTCGGTTCCACGACATTCTCGTCATGTAGAGATTATTAATGATTTGCTCTAAGGAGGCTAAAAATAATATTTATCACGGATGTGTATGAAATATGTTAACAATTTTTTGGGGAAGCTGACATAATGAAAATAAATATTCAAATCCCGTTATATATGTCCATTTCTTGATTTTCTAAAATTTCCACAACCTGTGAATTCGTGTGCAAGACTTTGGGTTTACAATTTTTTCTTTTATATTCCATGTATAGAGATAGACTGCTGCAAATCATAGTACATTAAGTTACTGCCACAAATGACTTTTGTTATAAAATATTTAATTTTTTTATACCTGATATACGTAAGTAAACACATTAGAAACGTCCATACCGAAATGTCTCGCAAAGACCTTTTCCAAAGATATTTACGATATGGACGTATTTTAAATTATATTCATATAAATCTCGCTTCTTTTCTTTCATCTAAGAAACGAGACTATTAAAATAAATTTTAATAATGGATGAGCGATAAAGTTACATTTCTTTACTCGTCCAAAGGATTTGCGAGTTGCCAAGTAATTAATATTAAATCTAGATCTTAAGTTATTCTTACATGTATACACGTGTAAAAATTTATAATACGCTTAGATTGAGTAACTTTAATTTACAAGCGTAACATGTGTACGATCAGCACTGAGAACTAGATAAAACGTGGCATCGCCTGACAACGAATGAAAAACATTCGAGCAAAATTAAGGCGATATATTACGACTATTTAGTTAAAATATTACGTTTATATATATATATGTAATATATATAAATATAAATTAATAATTATGGCAATAAATAAATATATTTACAGCACCTTGTGAATAAAGAATTTTTTAATTCCCAATTACATAATTTATTCAGTATACAAAAATACATCGACTGCCTTTATTGATTAATAAAGTACCTAAATAGAGATTTATATATGTGAGAGTAATTAAATGGTCTACAACTTTAGGACACACATACACACAGCATACCTTGTATTGATATTACTATACCTTATATTGTACACTAAATAGATCACGCTGTAAATATAAACTAATGACTGCACATACGATTTTACATATAACTTATCGAATTGCCTCATTTTATTTTACTTAGCTTTTCAATTTTTGACAAATTTTCTTAGCAATACTACATTGATCATAGTAACAATTGTGCGACAAATGATAAAACCTTAGCATCATGATAACATTCTCATTCATACGTTCTTGAAAGTTGCTTAACATTCATACAGCACACGTAAAACAAAGCAAATCTCATCTCATAACCAGACTGCGTAAATTTATTATTTGCTGATTTATATAATATCGTAATACAATATTTTGGCACTTTAGATTTTCGCAACTTAAAAAAAGCTATATTAAAGTAAACTTTAAACAATTAACTTTACTTCTGTATAATTGAAAATTTTTCATTTTGGTATAATGCATTTGTTTGTCAATATCTTTATTTGTTTGTTATTTTAATATATCGATTGTAATAGAAGGATCATATACTTTCACATTTTGTAATTTTATTTTATTTGTTTACCTCATATAGAATTTTATATAGGATTCTACTTATCTTTAGAAAATTTAGGTAAGTAGATTAATAAATATAAATAATATTATTAATAATAACATGTTAACATTGCTTAAACACTATATTGTAGACTATTTTTGCGAAATTTCAACTTTATTATTACCTAGTCGCATGTTGAGCAACTATATTGTTAAATTAAGAGAATCCCAAATACCAAAAAAGAAGATAAAAACAGAGAAAGAAATTACAAAATATAAATACATCGATTGATAAATAATAAACGCAGAAACAGGTTTGATTATCTTTGACTAAATTTGCGGCGTATATCGCCTATGTTTTTACCTATAAAGGCCTGAGCTTAAGTTTCATTATGACGAAGCGCAACTCTATAGAGAACATAATACGCAATAAACGAAAACGACACGAGTACTACAATTTATTGCAAAATAATGCCGCTGATATTACCACGTTAGGAAAACGTAGTTTTATATGTAATAGAGTCATGCTTGCGACACTCGATAGCCTCTATGAAACCTGAAGATTCGCAATTTCGAAGACCGTAATCTACATAAAATTCCCTTCCTGGCCTCCTCGTAAAAAAATGTTCCGCTGTATGTGCACGACTCGCTCAAAATTCTGAATACGCATAAGAATATACAAAACAATACTGTCAGTTAATGGCCAAAAATATTTAAAATAGTACAAACAATTTCCACCCGTTTACCGCTAATTTTTCGTCTTGGCAAAGTTGTCGCATTTCGCCAAAACTAATTAATTTTTCTCTGCACGATCGCATTCGTCTTATGGAAGTATTGACTTCCAACGACGCGCGTTTCAACGATATCGCAGAAAACCATGTAAACCGGTTTCGAAGAAGAGAACCATGAAATTCGGCTCTCTTCCAGTATCAAGATATCAAGATCACCGAAATTCGAGATAACTCGTGGACTGAATATTTCTATGAGTAGAAGCATATTCTCGAAGATTTCTTCGTCGCGCCGTTCTGTTCAACGTTGGAAAACGCCGTGGATTTCCTGGTCCTCGTCGAGAAGGGCCTGAGACGCATAAAGAGGTAAGCGGACAACACACACGAGGAAAGTAGAATGGCGAGTAGTACGATGAGAGTAATCGCGAATCCAGGAGTAGTCATGCAGATCATGGTCGAGCTGGCAGTGTTTTCGTGACGTTGAGGGAATACCATCGTTGGTCCATTCAGTTCGCTGTTATTGTTCTCGTCGATGGAGAAGGTCAGGTCACCGGTCGAGACAACTCGAATAATTCGATTCACACCAACGGCTTTTTGGGGATTGTGCACTATCTCTCGGGATTTCCTTCTCCTTTCGTCTCTGGGTCGTCCAGCCGCTGCCTGTAAATAGGCCTCTAACGGCAGCGGGATCGGAGGTGGAAGACCGTATCCGACGTCAGGATGTTCATTCGTCGGGGAATGATGATGGTGGTTCTCTAGAAGACCCTGACTCTCCAAAAGCGGTAACGATTCCGAACACTGTTCCGGACACTGGTACCGGCATATCTGTATGGTGCACTGGAAGTGAACCTCCATAGAGTCCGGGAACTTGAACGCCTGGAAATGGGCATACGACAGCACTGACGCCGAGGCGCCGAAATTCTTGATTTTCGTGAATCTGGACATCAATTTAGGTCGCGTGATACAGCCCCGCTGATCCACCAGTTGTATCGGCGCGCGTTTGCCATCGTGAGCCATGCAATTTCTCACGAGCATATCGAACTTGGAATCGTCATCCTTGATCGCGAGTACCATCGTCATGGTCTGGCCGATCTTGACGAGTCCCGAAACCTCGGAAGCCCACGGTCCCTTGCCAACTTGTATCTGCATCCAGCATCCGACATTGTCGCCAGCGAAATCCGCGCGAACCACGTCCAGCATGTCCACAGGAAACGGACGGAAAGTGACGGACTTCTCGTACAGATCGTGCCAAGTGCAACGCAGTTTGCGCGCCTGATCCCAGACCTCCTGCACTTGAGGATCGTATTGCACCACTATGATGTTTTCGAAGAACGTCCCGGATCCGGACTCGGCGCCGTAGCCGTACAGTCCATTCTCCGTATTGCCGGCCGTGCCGCACGCGTGTATACTGATTTCGAAGTTGACGGACGTGCGACCAAGTCCCGCGGGCAGGTGTACACAATTAATGTTGCTGTAGTGGCCTTTACTAAAGACTATGCCGTAGAATGGCTTATCGAAACCCAGATAAACCTTCATCAGACTCTTTTCGCATTTCACGTCCAGCGAGACGATCTTCGGCATATCAGGCGTTGGCGCTGGCCAAGGTTCGACGCCAACCGCGGTACTGACTCCGCCGCCAGTGGTATAGATTTTGTCCATAGCTTCCGATTGCGCTTTAGTAGGCGGTAATGGCGGCGGTGGACCGTGATAAGCGACATTATGATGCGGACGCGGTAAACTTAATGCACCTCGACCCGGCGGTAATAGAGGATGACCTCGAAGGCCACCCGATTTGTAATGGTTCCCCCCCGCATCCTTATCCGCTATGGAATCCAATGCTAATTGATCGGAATTAATTAACTCGTTATCTTGATGATTCAGTGCTGAATTTTCGTTTCGATTATCTTCTCCCGGAATCGCTTCCACAATCTCGACTTCTTCGGCTCGAGCCAGCTATAAAAACAGCAATAAATGTTAACAAAATAGATGCGAGCCTTTAGACTTAAAAAAAATGTATTATAAAAAATAGTTTTGAGTTTATAAGAGCATATAAAGTGATGAAAGTTTCAAATTTGTAATATAATAAATGGCGACATATAGAAATTTGTTAAATTCTTACGAAATTAATCACACATGTATGATACTATGATAGAAAATGTTCGCTTCTTTAAATCATTAATTACTTTTATGTCACCCTCGACTCAACGAGGCTATCTAACGAGGCTACATTATCATATCGACAGCTCATTTGCAAATTTTATTTCTAGCATTGATCACTCTCGTTTCAAATAATAATTTTATACATTTATCGGAAAAAAAAGAAAGAAAAAAAACGGCCACACAACGGTATTCGTTTCTCACGCGCTCAATGGGAAACCTAAGTGTGTCAAGCTCGACAGAATCGCACACTGCGTCGAGAAATGCGGTATGAGCTCGATCGTTCGATTATCCGATCGGACAAATGGAGCGATCGTCGAAAGAGTTATTTCCGGTGGCACGGCAGCCGAGGGCAACACGGCACGGAGGATGGCGAGTCGCCGGCGGCGACAAACCTGTTCGGAGTATTCAACGAATGTGGAGTTCGACGATTCGATTGACAGACGGTGGGGACGAAAAGGGGGTTGCGAGGTAGGGAGCCCGCGGAATAGGAGCATGTGAGTCGTGTGTATAGAACTGTACGTTATAGTGGTCGATTGCGTCACGCGTGACCTTAGGGCATAACGGACTACCCGTGTCTTTAGCCACGGGTCAATCGGCCAGTTCCGCGCACATGTTCGGCGGCTCTCCTTCTCGCCCCTACCACCCGTCTGTTTACTCGTTCTGTCATGGATTTTCAATGTGCGCGTCCCATAATTCGACCAAAGGCCTACCAAGTCACTCGCGCGGTAGTTTCGCACCATCGTGACGGCTCTCGACGACGTAGGATTCTCAAAGAAGACGCGCGACAACTGGCAATTTATCATGAACGACGTGCATCGTGCCATTTATATCAGAGACGTTGCGTTCAAGTGTCGACATGCTCCGACTCGATGCTTCGTCTTTGATCATGACAGTCTGGTCGCTTTCTGTCGAAAAGAATAAAACTGGTAAATGTGTAAACGTGTATAAACGTTACACATTAGGCGCTCGAAAATGTATCATGTTTATTATCGCATGCAGAGATATGATATACATACGAGAAGTAAGAAAAGTAAAAAAAAAAGCACACGAAACAGGTCAATTTCTCATATGTAATTGTGGCTTCTACTCTAATATTTTTTAAACATACAGAAATTAGACCTCGGTATGTGAAATGCGGGTTGAAATGGTACCGCATAATTCATAGAAACATCGTGACGGGGGAACGAACGGGATGATATCGATACATTGATACCGTAACGACGCGACGATTCATTCATCTACCCGGTCTATCCGGCCCCACGCTCTTTTATGAACTCGACGATAATTCGCCGATTGAGAAGTTGAGCGGAAAATAAAGAGGATGCATACGCGTCAAAAATCGTGTTGGGCCACAGGAATGTAGGATGAAAAGGGTACACGAAAGAAACCGCGAGGCGCGCGCTCACACGAAGAAACCGGTCGTTCCGCGCGCGGGATTTTTGCGCACCACCTTGTAAGAGAGCGGCCCGACGACGCACGATGAAACGTTACTCGGGTCCTCGGTAGACAGTAGACGAGCCGGATTGGAGCGCCGCTTCGCGCACCATTTTGAGACATCGGACCGGGCGAGTCGCCCTTAGCTCTGGGTCAGAGCACTGACTGGGTAACGGCATTGCCCGGCCACGTGCGTACTCATCACGATATCTGGGTTATAATGTAGTAATTACTTATACGTACCGACCTATCCTAGCCCCCGCGTAAGAGTGATCCCCTCAAAGCGCGTCGTGTGTGTCTCCACCACGTTTCTCGGTGGTCTCGCACCAGACGAGAACTAATACCCGTAAACCTCATTTATCGTATTTTCTTTTTTCGCCTCCGAGAATGTTCATTGACGTTTCGCTTCGAACACCGTTACAACAATCGATGCACAATGCGTGTGTATCGATAATTCTGCGTTAATGTTTCACGCATGATTTTTATTGTATCTCGCAACGATCATTCATGCAAAGTATAACTTAAATGTAACAAATATATACATATATAATGTATCGGTTTACTTACCCCCTTTAATAGGAGACAGGCTAGGATATAAATGCGTAACTGCATACCGTGTTGGTGTCCACGATGGAACACTACTGGTATCACTGGAAAAGATACATCGTTCACATTAAATATTCAAACATATGTATATTATATTAAATATACACTGTGGCATAATTCGGTATATTATGCCAATTTTTTAACAAAACTAAAAGTAAGCCCTACTGAAGAAAATTACGTCAGACAGTTACATATAACGAAATCACGTAATTAAGACAAGTAAATTACGTAACGAATTGTTCCAAATCAGTACGTGATTTTTTTTAATTACATAATTTGAAAAATTACATAATGATGTGTGTTCCTTTTTCTTCTATGTCTATCATTCAATTCTTTAAAATTAGGAAACTATAAAATCACACCATGTTCCTTCTAATTTCATGTAATTTTTTGAATTACATAATTAAAAAAATTCTAACATACTGATTTGGAACAATCCATTACGTAATTTACTTGTTTTAATTGCATGATTTCAACGTGCAACTTTGTCACGTGATTCCTTTTGAGTAGGAAAAAGTAGAAGTAACATTTAAATCAAAACAATTGCGCCAAATGTATAATAACTTACCTGTAACGATAATCGTACAGGATCGTGAGAATTGATAGACTGTCTCTCACGGTTATCGTAAACGCCCCGGGTTATCTTTCTTGTTGACGTATTCACCGGCTGCTCGATACAACTATGACCTGTAATTGGAGTTTTACAAAATTTATAATTTTTTATAAGAGTCTTTTCAAAGAGATATTGTGCTTAGGTTTGTTATCTGAACGACGACCATGTTAGATGTGTTGACTGTTAATCGCTACTCATTTCCGCTACCTCGCGGTAAAAGACACATTTACAGGACAGCCTGTTGTCGAACTCGCATTTTGCTCGTTTCGCTCGTGTTTGATCGCCAATTATCAAGCAACTACATGTTCGCCTCGCGCAACCACTAAAGCCACCTGTCCCAAATTCCTCTCGAATGTCCGGGTTTTCGCTCCGTTACTTCGTTGTAAGCGTGAAACTGCGATAGCATCTATCGATGCAAGTCAAAAATTTCACTAAATTTGCAAAAGTGTGCATACAAAATATATGTCAACATATAAGTTTCGCATGTAATCGTTCAGCTCAAAGTGGGACGACTGTGTTTGCACGATCTGCTAATTAATTGTTCAGTATAGACATTTAACGACTCTGACATCTTTTGGATTTAAACTACGATACGTGAGATAACGAATGATGACGCAAGAAAATGATTTTGTCGTAATCCTTTATAATAAAGGAGAGGAAAGAGATGGGGACGGTATGCCACTGACTCGTTACCGCTTCTCTGTATATACATACAATATATAAAAGTCGGATTTTGATGCAACTCTCTTTCAGAGAGCGAAGCATCTAATTAACGCAAAACAGGAAACGTGTAAAACGGAAAAGGAAATTAATTAAAACCCTAAAACTTGTTTTATTTAAGTGTAATAAAATACTTGCCGTGGCTTTTATCTACAAACGTAAATTGAGACACAAACGAGGAAAACAGTCATGTAAATGGCGGGTAGGTAAATTTATGTTGCGAGTAGGTACTAATTTGTCTAATGGTCGTGCCGGCTTGAATGTCTTGCGTTTTAATGCTCTCTTACGAAGAACATACGGCAGAAATACCTCCATGTATCCAGGCATTCTTCTTTATATATATATAATATTATATATATAAATATGTAATGTACGTATAATGTATACATACGATAATGTATGTCTCGACGTAAACCTTGATTTGCCTAATCTATAAATTCCTAAATTTTACGAACCATTTAAATTTAACAAAATAAAGGAAGCTTTTCTTTTCTCGTGCGTTGATTATATTTGTCCAAATTTTTTAATTTTTAACGTTGAATGTGTCTAAACAATTTCACAGCTCGTTTTGCGATCTATGAAGATTAAAGATCTGTGAAACTAAAAAACCCGTTCCGGCTTTAATACTTTTAATGCTACAATGATGAACAGCACGACCGCTTTCGCGCGCGCATGAAAGAGAAAAGCCAGAGACGATATGCAAGACGACTGTGCGGTAATGTGCAGTCGATGTCCAAGTGGTATGCTTGACGTTTTATGAATGTAGGCAAGTAGGCTCCCGCCGATCAACGCTCGACCGCACGCGCGCACACGTGGAGTCCAAGTCAAAAGGACCAACCGGTTAGCCGGGCGCGGCCGCCGGCTATTCGTCCAGTTTGCGAATCCAGTACTTTGTATATACGACGGTAACATCTAAAATCGAACGGTTGCGATAATCTGACCGATTTCTCGAAAAATTTCCACCAAGTCGCCTCTTTGACAAATTTTTATGGTAGAAAAAATTAAGACGTTGAAGACAATCTACGTTCGATATAGTCTTGATTCTCTTGAATGAAGCATATTTAACGCTGCAATCACCAAGAATCAGCAGTGTGTTTCAAATGTATAATTTGCCTTTACAAAGAGAGCAGACGCTAACCATCGGAAGCAGTCTGGAGAGATAACTGCGAAAACCGCAAAGTCATTAGATCATATCATACAGTATGTTATTCTGCTTTTACAATTTGTGTCACAATAAACCGCGACACCTGTTCTTCCTCTTACGAGTGGCTTGAATAAAAATCACTGCCAGCTGTTTACACGTCTCCCGTTTCGCGTTTAACCAATGAATCGGGCATGCCGAAGATATGGCACGGTGCCAAATACGTATAACGGTTCAGTCGATGTTGTAATTCCGAAGTCGGGCATTCGCATAATCAGCAATCTAATAGCGACCTATATAGAAGGAACCTAGACACTTTTCTGTTTCCTTGTCCCCCTTTCTCATTATCTTCTCTTCCACGTAACGGACGTCCAAAAAGACGTCGCGTCGTAAATAATATTCCACTAACACGCAAAAAGAAGTTAAACAGATCGATGCATTTGTGTGTTACTTCTTGTTTTGGACTCTAATAGATTTATTAACATCGTTCGTCTAATATTCTTTCTACTTTCTTTTTTAGATCCCATTTCGCTAGTTATTTCGCTGTAAAGATTCCGCACAACGACAATGTATCAATCAAACAGCGATCTCTGAGATTTAACGACATTCAATCATGCGTTGAAAATCGCTAGTGATCTCCTTAATAAATTAAAATGGAACATCGTGCTCGGATATATCCGATTGTCACGCATTTATTAGTTATATCATGCTATTATATCAATAGAATAGCAACGGGCAATGTAATAATACGCACATATACGATCTATTGTAAACTAATTATTTTGCAATACGGCATCGAATGTAACGAATGTAGTCCGACTCGATCGCTTCTCTCTACATTGTATGTGACCGAGAACATGTGTTACATACATAAGAGATACGATAAAAGAAATCGTGCATTAATTTTTAATAAATGGATAAATAAAAATTTATGCCCGATATCAACCTCAACGTAAAAGTGTAATCACAATTTATGAATATAGTACTTTTTATACAAATTGTCTCTAATAAGAGTAGCGAAATTTTGCAACTTAACGTGGGGTCTTGAAAATTTAAATAAAACAATATATACTTTAAAGCCCGTCTGCCGACTACTGTCAATACAGATCTATCTTATTCAGTAAAACACGCGCCGCGCACACGTGATTGTACATATCATAAAAAATTCACAATCCACTTCTTTCAGTATGCTCCCTCTCGTTTGGTTCCACCGTTTGCACAACGGTATACGAAAATTACACGCTTTTTAATTAGCGTGCAAATTTAATAAAGTAGCAATCGATTGTGCAGCAATGTTTCTCCTCGTTTTATACACACATGCCCCGTATACGTTAATAAAAACTGCGCGCTTCTACGCAATTTACAATTATATTTACGCAATTATAACGATAGATGCGGAAAATGATAATATATTTGAAAGAATCTCTGCCGATAATTATGTTAAAGAACAGGTCTCTCTGTCGGAGAGTATTGCGCAGCCGTAACATGTACGCTAGAGTGGTAAACGTTCACCACGTGGTCGTGGACCGCGTATCGTGCTGCGTCTCCTACAGCGCGACGTATAATTTCTCTCAATGAGCCTGCACCCGGCCGTTATTAACGCATTAACGAGGCGCGAAACGATGACGTGCGACTTGCCTCTAATAACTTAATCAGTGACGTAGCGCTAATTGGATTACGTCCTGGGCAACGTGTAGCTGGTCGTTAACCGCCGTGCATACGTCCGCTGGACTCAAGAAGCGCGTTTAATAGCCACGAATTATCTATAACGATGTCTTCATCGTGCTCATTGCGAGAAGCAGAGAGCCATAGAGTGTATTTGGGAATTAAACTTGCGGTGTATTTCGCACACTGTATAATCAGGATCGAGAGTCAGCAAAATAAATGCATGTTCGAAACAACGAGTGCCTTTTTTACAGAGATAATGTTTTAACTATCGTCACCGCGCGCGAACAAAGTTCCATTCTGCGTCGATGTTAGTCCAAGGGTGTTAGTCTCGAATTTGCTAATGACAGATATTTGTTTTACCGATTTTTTGAAATGTCAAACGGTTCAAGGCAAAGTGAATCGAACAGTTGAAGAATAGTATAAGATACGAATGGTAGATACAATGAGAGACTGAACTACACAGCATTTTGTAATTCGACATTAGCGGCGCGGTGATATCTTACTTTTTTGAACCGATACAGCCCAAGCAAATCCGGATGCAAGTAGTTGCCAACGTGCTCGATTCTCCTTCGGTTGTCAGACGAGCGAAGAACTGAATAACGAATCGCTACATCGATCTCTAAATCGTTGTTGGACGTTAGTTCCCCGGCGCACAACCGCCCGATTCCGCACGCTCCAGTGGTGCACGGGCGCGAATATTGAAAATGAGATTGACAAGCGTGTCTCTGTAGTAAAATGCAAAGTTACGATATTCTCTCGAGCCTTCGAAAGCTCCGTGCGCGAACGACTGATCACCTCGTGATGCGATACTCCGCGATGCCCGATCGCGACAGCTAGAGAAAGAGACGCGCGCGGGACAGCGTGCGATCGCCGGTCTCGGAGGTGCACGCGAGAACTCGAAGAGTCGGAATAGGGTACACCTGTCCGATATACGGAGTATACTACAAACGTAGCGGCCCGCCCCCTGACCCAGACAGCCGGTACAGTTATATAGGTCCCTCGCGCGGTGCAGAGGATATCTCTCCTCGTTCTCGCCGTGAGTCTGTGACTTGATGAACGATGCCGATGTTCGTGTCTGTGAGAAGGAGCAAGAAAGAATGTACATATATACCCTGCGCGTGTACTTCGTGTCGATGATATCCTTATCGCTTAGGGCAAAAATGTGATATCGAGCACGGTGTAAATTGATGTCGCGATGGGCTTTAATGAAGTTCGATGACTGTAATTATAGGATCTCAATCAAACGTAGATAATCTCTAACATTACATTAGTTTTCTAGTATAATACGTATACACTTGTTCCTTTAGCGCATATATTTATCTTATTATATGTAATATTAGAAAAGCGTTTATGAAAAATATTATCGAGTAGGAGGTATTCCCGCATTCTTTTTATAACCACCCACGTCGTGTTGAACGCAACATTATAAATTATGTACGCAAATGAATAACAAAATATTAATGCTATAATACCAAAGTTATAATATTAAATTACAATGTTCGCCAATAAAATGTCACACACACACACACACACACACACATACACGGTATATTAATTTTTTTATTTTAATAAATATATGGATTTACCAACTCGAATATACGTTCTCATAATCTATTTATCACAACTTTTGCATTCTAAATAAAATAGACCTATATCATACTTATCTATCACGTTTTATTTAACACTTTGTTGACCTCAAATATATGTCAAAGAGATTACACTCAATAATTAAGGATATAGCACAATTATACATATATGTATAAAGTGTCCTTAATCTGTAGCATTAACTATAAATCTCACATGACTAATTATAAGAAGATGTATTTTCGTCAAAAGCTATCATAAATACAGTAATTGATACAAACCAATAATTACCTTTAAAATAATATAAATAAGACTATTAAGTTTTAATAATATAAATAAAACTATTAAATAAACTATTAAGTATACTTAAACTTAATTTTCCTTCATTACATTTATATTTAAAAAATTTTATTTTAATGTAATGTGATTAAAAAATCAAAAAAATAAAACGCGAAGGAATTAAATGTTTCGTCTCATTGACTACTTATTATATTGCAAATCAAACTTTAGTATAAAAATGCATATACTTTATTATAAAAATAGGTCAAGAGTCTAGTTATAAAATAATTCAAAAGTAAGTTGATTTTAATGTCAATTAAACATAAATAAAAAAAAGTATCTCTATGCTAATATTAGACCAGTTCTATCTCATACATAGTGGCATCTGGCATAGCATTTCGAATACATTTAAATATTGAAAGTTAAATATTGACACTTAACGATTGATGATAATTTATCAGTTGATGGTTATGTAAAAAGTATATTTGCCGACAAAGCTTATATTAATGATTTTGTAAATTTTTTAAATGTAGTCATTGATAAAATAAATGGATAAATATAAAATAATATTTTATTTAAGAAACACAATTATAAGTAAATTTTATCATATCTATGATATTATATCACAGCGACAGTAAAAACATAACTTGATGGCGTTGATGTAGCCAATCTTTCATAACTGTAATAAACCGAGTTAGTTTGCAATCAGATTTATATACGCAAAATATATACATAAATATAAAATGATAAATAATGTAAAATATTATAATAAAATAGTTTTATTAATTATAATAATAAATAAGGCATAATATATGATACTAATAAAATAATTTTATTAATATGCACTACATATTGAAATAAAAATATTATAATTTTAGAAAAATAGAAGTTAATTTTTTTTTATCAATAGGAAATAAAGGCCTATAACGGTCAAAGCTGGATTTTTAACGCTTAGATAATTTCATATAAATTTGTTCATACTATGTATATACGTACATACATGTATACTATATTTGTAATCATTTGAATTGTTCGCCGAATTAATCTTTTCGATCTTAGAAACAGATAAATTACTGCAATAATAGATAATTACTATTAAATTTTGATACTCAATAGATATCTATTAAAGAGATCTTGATGCAAAGATTATTGTTTATATTACGTTGCTTGAAATAAAGATGTATACTGATTATTACGAAAAATATTAATAAAATTACTAGATTGTAACACTCTCTCTCAACAATATCAGACGAATATGTAAAGATGCTCCTATTTTCACACATTTTATTATTCACATAAAAACAGGAGAATCAATTCTTCGAAACAATTATACCACACTATGTCGTTTAGATCGTATGATTGTTCATCTCTATGACTTTGTAACATCTTCAAGAATCATTAAAGAAAGACCTGTGTGAGTCTATATATTTTTATTTTTATACTGTACTAACGTTGTAAACTTGAAATTTATTTTATAAAACATCTTATTACTGCTCGTTTTAGACCGAATTTCTTCATATTACTGAAACTTCCGTAGTCTAAAGTCTAAAAGCTTAGGACTCTCTAACATGGAATGCTAGAAATCCAAGTTTGACTCCCATATTGTGATATTGATTACTACAGTAATATAGATGCGTTTCTAAGTCCGAAAAAATTAATTCAGCTCACAATTATATAAATACTAAATGAAAAAATATCTTATTTAAATAATTGCTAGAAACGTTGAGACTTTTCAAAACGTTTCATACTTTATCCTACAAAATCATTAAAACGAATTTATGTGTTACGCTGCACATAATACAACTGATTGATGTGGCATTTACGCGTATTCATTCAATTTCATATTTGGCATTTATAATACGACTGAATGCAAATTCTATGCTGTTATCAAAGATCAAATATCAATAAAATATTCATGTCGATTACGTTCTATGATTACGCTCTCATTAACCATAGTGCTGTCTAACTGGTTTCTTTGGCAAACTTATAACGAGAAAAACATGAATATTACAAAGATACGACTCGTTGTTTTACTATTTTTGCTAGTAAGTAACATTTTTTAATGTTTTGTTTTCTTAGATTATTTTGTATTACAATTTTTTCTAATGTCGCAAAAATTTAGTAAATGCTGTATTTAGTAAAAAATAATTTTACTGTATTATATATAATAAATTAAATACAGTTTTTGGGCACTCTAAAATTAATACATAAATGTAATATAATATATACAATAACTTTTAGTGTTAAAAACTTATATATATAATATATTTTAATTTGTATAATAATAAAAATTATGTTTACATTTTTGATATGTTTAAATATATGTAATGTGTTTATATAAAATTTGTTTCATTTTGTGTACATGTTGGAACACGAGCGGACATTAAACGAGAGTGTCGCCAACAAACAAATGTTTCTTGGAGTATGTAAATATTTTATATTGCTCTTACATTGAGAAAGAGATATTTCTTTTTCTTAATTGACTTCTTTGATCTAGCATCCTTAAAGCAATTAAAGGCCGGTAACTTTGAACAACATGATATGAAATTAAAATGTTATTTGAAATGCTTTATGGTAAAAAACGGTATTCTTAATGAGAATAGCAATATAGATGTTGAAAAAGCCTTACGTCATCTCCCGCGCAGTATGCAAGAATCATCGAGAAAAATTCTTCATCGATGCAAATCAATTCGTAAGTCTTGTCCTACATTTACCTACTTTGGTGTACTTATAACAAAATCAATCTACATAATTATTGCAACTTTTAAAATGTACACTGTATATTTTATGTTTCTTATCTTTTTACATAAAATGTAACGACACGATAGATACATTAAAAATTTTTTAATAAAAATTGATACTAATAAATTAATAGAAAAATTAATTTTTAGAAGCGGAGAATACTTGTGATAAAGCTTTTCAAATAGCTACATGTTATGTTAAAGAGCAACCTGACGTATGTATTATAATGTAAATTTATTATTATCATAAGATACTCAATGGAGAATTCTGTTTGCAGATTTTAAAAAGCGTATCATTTATTTAAAGATGCTTTGAGTTTAGATACATGAAGTATTGCATTATGGAAAATATAGAGGGCTAGGAGGATGAAATAGTCGTTACACAATATGTAGAAACGCTAATTTATTAAATTACATTACTTCACTTGAAGAATACATTACAAATAATTCTATAATTTGCAATTTTTTAAAACAAAATGTATAAAAATGGTTTAACATACTATACATATACTTATACAATATACTTATACACATTACATTATATAATATACATACTATATACATACATAATATATTTATTTAATGATATGAGTATACTATATAAATACAAGTATAATTGTGTTAATTATATTTATATATATGTATGCAATAAGTACTCGTAAAAATGTTGTATTAAAAATTAATTTGACTTTATATTTTATATTATTCCTTAAATATTAATTTGATTTACATCATTTTTATGTAAAAATTACATACTCTTTATTTTACGTTATTCAAAAAAATTAAAATTATGACACACACACACAAATGTAGCAGCTACATATTGACAGTATATACTACAAAATTCCTTCTACATTATAAGTACGACACATTTTGTATTTGTAAAACACTAAAAAAAAAATGAACGAGACCATGGTAACGTGTGATATTTGTTTATAATTCACATTACATATAAATTTTCAAGGTTACACATTTTGTCAAAATTCCAAAATTTTTATAGAATAAAAATTTAAAGTTCGTATGTCGTAAGATTATAAAAACTCATCATGTGCGATCATTGTGCGTAAGTAATCTTTTTATTATGTCACATAATGCAGTTTTCCTATAATGTTATAAAGTTTTTGTTCCTTAAAGTAATGGGTACATACGTATATACATAAAATGCTATTATATATAAGAATAAACATATATGTATACGTGTACACATGTGAAAATGTTGGTGTTATCTTTTATAGCAAAATTACCAGTCAAAAAGGATATGCTGGACAAGTAACTTGTCGATGCAAGTAAGTCTTCGTATATATTTATTTATAAATTCATAAATACGTTTATATGTATATAGATTATGTATGTGTCATGTATCATACATTATGTTTGAGCAGTGGCGCGAAAAAGACTGATGTGGTCAGTAAGGAAAAAGACTTACCTGGATGTTGCAGCAAAAAGTAAAAATTACAATAATAAAAATAAGGAAAAAAGAATAAAAATAAAAATTAATTAATTAAAGAATAAGAAAAGTTATTAGTTTTAAACCTATATGGTCGCCTGGATCCATAATAATGATTGTACGAGCAGTGCAACACATTCCCAAAAATTTTTCATAATTTATTAATTATTACAACTCGACTGAATATATACATAGAGAAAAAAAGGGAGGATGTTGTGGTGCCAAATGTTGCTCGGGCACGAAAGAAGAACATGGCGGATGTTGTAGCGATGCCACCACGGATCAAAAGAGCTGCTGTCCAGCAGGAAAGTAATCTGCCAACGCAATGGTCCTACTTGACGACAAGGTTAAAAAGGCGGCCATATGGGCTACTTTAAATAAATCATAAATTCGTCCTTTTTGTCACACTCTTATAATTTAATTTATTATTATAAGTTTTTTAAATTAAAAATGCTTACTAAATGTTTATTTTAATATTTTCATAATATTGTACCTTATATGATTATTTTTATTATTACATTTTTTTATAACTCAGATCGATATTTAAAATGTTATCACTGTGCTTTCTATTAGAGCAAGAGAAGCAGCCGGCGGTTGTTGTATGTCTGGTTGTTGCAAACCAATCAAAACTGGAAAGAGCGAGAGAGATTCGGCGGGTGCGGATTGTGCCACGCAGATGAAAGATACTGAAGGAAGCTGCTGTGCCGAAAATAGAAAATAATTTTAATAGAAGCACTTGTGTCGCAAATTCTAATCTAAAAGCTTTAAATACTTTTTTTTCGCCTACATTTGTGTTCTATATAACATACATTGCGCAAAATCTAAAATATTTGGATAATAAAACATAAAACTTGAATGCCCCAATAAAAATAATTTGTTATTTCGCTACAAATTCGTCGCTACAAATTCATAAAGCTTATTAATTTTGTTTTAATTACTATGCAAAATATGAGACACCTACTGTTTGTATACAAATTTATATATTGTAAATATTCTTTATGTTCTTCAATCAATTGTCAATATAATCAGGCTTAATATACATACTGAAACTTCATCCTAACAATTTGCATGTATATTCCTCTATTATGCATCCTTTAGGTTTTACAATGTGAGATAAAATTAATAATATGCTAAATTTTATATACATACATTACGAACGATCGACAAATATAAAAGATATGATACACATATATAATTAAAGAATGTAAAAATTATTATATTTGTTTAAAGATGGTTACAAAGTCACTATAGATACAAAATCAAAGACAATAGGATACTTTTTCTAATAGAATTATAAATTATTTTCTTGCGAGAGTCTGTACAAAAATATTTAAACCGTAGGATGCGTCAAAGAATATAGATTATAATCGTATGTGACCCCTGTTAGCTAAAGAGATTTAGAAAATAGCGTCTAAATAATTAAAAAAAAATTAAAAGCTAAAAAACCAGCGTCCTTTGTGACGTCATACGTAGGAAAAATCTGCGTCATGTCTGTGTATATCCGTGACGCACGTGCAAGAAACAGGGTGCTTCGAGCAAAAGTTGATAAGGGCGAAAGTGCGTATGTGTGCGCTCGGGGGTGATGCAGCTTGACGCGGCTCGATGCGGCGCGCAAGCGCGACGGTTGCAGAGCTTTCGAGCCACGCGATGGTAGCAGTTGGCCTTCTAAAACCGCGAAACACGTCCCGCGTTCTCTCGAAGGAAGAGTACCGCGAGGATAAGCCACGTTTTCTTCCCCCGTTTCTTGTGTATGTACGTGCGGGTTTAGAGTAAGAATTTGAAGACGTCTCCCCGGTCGTTTATTGTGATCGTCCTTCCTTACTCCTTGCGTTCGATTACATTTGACACTGACATCCAACACACGTACGAAATCTCGGTAAATACCAACAACACCCTCATCGCCTGTGCCTCGAACGTCGTGACATCGTGCATCAATTCATCGCGATCGAATACTGACGATCAGAAAAGACCCTGACCTTGAAAGTCCACGTGCAAACGTCAGATTAGAGGATAATTAACACGCGTTAACCAGCGATAATGCGTTAATGGAGAACAACCGTGATACCCGCGTATTTTCCTCACCGGAAAAATATATAACGATTAATTCGTAATAATACACAAATAATATATAACGGTACGTACCGTCTTATGCACGACACGATTTTTATTTAATAGTTTCATTGTTATAGCTACCGTTTTTCCTTGTTTTAGAAATGCTTCTTTTCCGTTCAAAAAACACACTGAACAAGATACTCTTGTTCCGTTACAAACATTAGAAGCATTTAGATCTACGTAATATCATGTATCGCTTGCTTAACTGAAAAAGCTCCCCATCCATTATATGTATATACAATATTAGCATATACCTCAGGGTTCTGTATTAAATGAAAAGGTAGTTACAAATTTTGAAAATTTAAATTTTTTTTATTAAAATTCAACACAAGAAACAGGCCTCTTACGCGTGCACATAATTATCATTTAATTACCATTACATTTTGCTCTAATTTTTTTAATTTACTTTTAAAAATCAAGCATTGCTTCAGATAAAATTTGGCCAAGTATACGAAATATTTGTTAAGTCGTCCACAAAATCTTATTAATGTTAATTTTAAAGTTCTATCTCTTTTGTTGGTTTTTTTTATGTACTGTTTTAACTTTTTGTTGTAGAGAAGAATATTTTACATATATTTTTAAGGTAATGCATTATGTGGAAAAAATTGTTTGTTCGTGACGATACATGGTGATACGTTCTGAAATACATGGCATGCAGATACACAACGGATGAAGTTGATCGCACCAATGTACACATAACAGATACTTTAAACATTAATAATTAGTAACTATAGCTAGCTATTATCATTTTATTTTCAAAACTTATTTAACTTTTTTTATTCTCAAATACTATTTTAATTTTCAATGCCCAACACACATCATTACATTGCTGTAGAAAATGCTCTATAACGTTTAGAACTGTTTAAGACAAGACATTTATGTGTGGCACATTGATACAATGACAACAGCAAAAAATGACGACAAAAGAAATGTCCATTAATGAGACAAAATTATCGAAAACTTGAAAGCTTATCGAAAGAATATTTGCTATTTATATCAATTAAAAACAACAAGTATCAATTGTCATCTCACCAAATGGACTAATAAAAATATATCTAAACAATGTAAAATTCTATACAAACGAATATAAATGATGGTAATTTTGAGATTGTTTTCACTTTTTATGAAAAAAATATATTTACCAAAAAGTAATTAAAATTTCGCAATCAAGCTTTGAATGAAAGTAATTCACCTTAATTGTTCAGAGTTAATAGAATCATGCAAGATGTATTGTACTATGATACAATTATTATATTGAGACAAAATTATAATTACACGTTTCAATCATTTCAATATGATCATTATTAATAGTATAACAAAAATTTATAATTAATCTTAAACGGACATGATTCTCTTTAATAAAATCTGATATATTCATCTGCTTCGTTGAAGATTATCTTTGGTGATATCGTATATGCCTGATGGTTATTTAAAATTAAACTTTACTGCTGATATTTTAAACATATTTGCCAAAATTAGATTTATATGCCAATTAAAAAATTTTAAGATCAATATCAGTGTGACATCAGATTATATGACATCAGCATAATAACTACTGCATACGTATATTCGCTCATTAATAAATCGCACTGTATAATTCTTACCTCAAGTTATAAATCCTATATTTATAATCACGTGAAAATTTGCAGAAAAACGAAAATCAATGAAGGAATCGCCTGAAATATATATATAAAAATATCAGATAAATTTAGAATGTTTCTCTCTCATTTATTGCATCATTAATTCTTTGTGTAATGAAAACGCAAAATTATTAACAGTTCAAGAAATACAAATTTAAAGATATTTCGATTAGGTATTTGAAGATATTAATCTCGTTGTATCAGTAAAATAAAAAAAAAAATACGAAGTAGTGATTATCTCGTATGTCGATTCAATGCTTGGGTCAATATGTAATTTATCTTTGCTTCAGCATTATTAAAATAGTTAATTTAAACATAATTAATCCCATCTTTTTAAGCAAGCAGACATTTTTATTAAAAGATAACTGAATCTTACAAATGCAAAATGAATGAATGTCTAGATCGTTACAAATGATAACAGACCATTGACACCCACGGATTTCCGGCTTACACGATTATCGTTTGACCAATCTTAGGCAATTTTGCAATTGGCCGCGACGGGATCACTAACGCAAATGTGATATCAAGCCTTGTAAAACAGATTCCTCCTTCCTCCCACTCTACAAAGTTAATTTATATCGTAATATATGTTATTTCGATAACGAATAAAAGAGGTAGCGAGGAAAAAGGAAAAATTAAAAATTATTTGTATAGATACATCAAATAAATTTTAACAATTTGTTGCCCAACGTTGTATATACTTGTTTTTATTTTTATATATTCTTTGTAAATTATTATATGAGAGAGATTATGTTATTTTTTGTTGTATATAATTATATAGTTCCATTAATTTTTGATAAAATTATGTGACAATAAACATTATTTACATTCGATTATTTAGGTGTAGTATTTGAGATCACAAATTGATTGGAAATTAATATAAAAACAATTTAAAACAATATTATTCTTATTGTTTCGTATAAGAATTTTGCAAAATATTTATATATTATTTCCTCCATTTTTCCGTTCAATTTTTCGCTTCCCTGCGCTTGATATTCTTTCTTGTTCATTCTATCAGTTACGTAAGTTATCTCTATCCTCTCTTGATCCTTCTATCGCAATTCTGTAAGTTCCTAAGGAAACAGGAAAAGAGATCACGTAGATCTAACTCAACTCTCGTCGAGAAACATAATACAAGAATCACTTTTTTTAAGAAATACATTCTTCATTACAAGCACGTGTTTATAGAGACCATTTAATATTATATTCTTTTTTTTCAACAAACTCTTATTATACTCTTGAATTTGTATTTCTATTTTGTTTACTATATTTATAGATATAAAGGAGAAACAGAGTTTTTCAATAAAATGCATCTTCCATTTATCAATGAAATTTAAAATACTGTTATATATATATATATATAAAGTAGAAAGATAAATTCTTAAATTTATGAGAACATTTTAAAATCATCTGCTTCTAATTTATTAAGTGTGCACACACTTTTAAAAAAGTATATTTAATATTTTAAGACTTGAGACATTTCAAAGGAGCAGATATTTTTGATTCGCCGCGTTCCAGAAAAATATTTTCTTCATTAATGAATTGGCCGTTCTGGAAAACTTTTTTTTTTTATAGTACTATGTGCATATCGATCGCCATTGGTACTATTCATCCGTAATGACCAAGTTCAACGGCGGCCTTCTTCAACATAGGAAGGGGCTCTACATGTAAGATCGAGTATACGTATATTACACTACTAAAACTAGGGAGGCCATGAGGAGGACGCGAGGGTGCGGGGTCAAAGATGATCGTGATAATCACTCAACGATGAACATCCATAAATAGCCATAGTCGGTGAGCGGTTTATAGACAGTTAACGTTGAAAGAGAATGTCGAAGCGCGCTCTTTGAAACTGATTGTTCACGTACGGCATGAGCGAGTCTAATACAGAATTTCAGCTTATAATAATTTGATGTTATAATACTATATGTCATATATTATTTTTATTTCCGATATAATAATTAAAGGGCATTTTTTTATAATTTTATAAATTTAACACATCATTTTGCGAAAATTGACTTAATATGGATTTAAAATTGATAATTTCTTTCGATAAGTTTTCATTTGTCTGGACAAACTCAATATTCAGAGGACAAAAGCAATTTAAACAAAAAATTTAAGACCCATATGCAAAATATGATGACGCGGCGTAATGGTTTTAATATTACTCCCCCAAAAAAAAGAAAAAAAAATACTTCAAAGAGGAAGTTCATCGTGTCTGTGGCACACAATATAGAGTCGCCAATGTTGATCAATAAAATAACTGAAGAAATATTGCAAGAAAATCCGCTTTAAATTAGATTACATTAATGTATCTAATCTTTAACCTCTTTATTATTAATCTGCAACTATGATCGCGGTCTGTTAACACGAGAGAGTAAGACTCTATCTCTATGCCACTGTTAACCCGGATCCTGATGTATATTAGGATATATGCAAATAAAACAGAATTTAAGCGCAAACTTAACTAAACTATACTATTATTAGTTTAACTTGCGATTTGAATTGCTTTGATCAAACAGCGATAAATATTTGCATGAATGAAAGCTCAATTAAACCCCTGTTCTCCCTTATTTGAACGTAGAAACGTGAATCTTGCCATATCCTATCATATCCTATTCAGCACTTCACAACTTTATTTCAAGTTTAGACAGTATGAAAAAGTGTTCTTAAAATGAAATTTACTGTATTTAGACATTCAGAAAATATTAAGTTTTCTCTGCTTAGATCACAATATTGATTTCATCACTTTTACATTTTATTACTTAATTTTTACTTTGTATACAAATCCTATATTTAGAAAATATTTATTGATATCGTTCAGTCTACAATTATCATTTACGGTTCTATTTCTGTAAAATTATTGTCGTTTTTTATATTTCCGATATTTTTCAAGTGACCTAATCGAATTGTTAGTGCATACATATGTATGTACATTATTGTTGTAAAAGTTGTCAACTATAAAGCATTTGATTGAGAAGATTTAGATGGATTTTTATACACATTTATAATAAAAATTTCTAATAAAATCAGAAATTTGTATTAGAGTGCACAAGTAATTAGAGTTAGATTTGAGAATAATAAAAAAAAATACTCGTTTTAAATGAAGGAAACACAAAGAGTCTTTAATTGTAAGAAGTTTTTTTATTTAAAAGAAAAAGCGTTTGTTGTTAAATAGGCTACGATCGTTATAACGTATTAATATAACATAAGCGAAATTGCCTAACTTGCCTTTTTAGTTTAATTTTTTTCATTAACATTTATTTTAAAGGACAGACTTTTACGAGCTTATTTGCTTGTTTCAGATATTTGAAAGAATGGTAATCTTAATATAACAAATATAAAAATACTGCTGAAGAAATAGAAGAAATCTAAACTTTTCACTCTTGATCATGCCTATGTGATGATTGTGTTCTATATTTTACTACGTTACTTTAAGATCGCGGAAGAAAAAGTTGTGCCAAATGCTCTTTCATCAGATAGACAGATGACAAATATGTTGGCAATGTTTAACCAAGCGTTGTAAGATGTAATTAGATCATATAACGATAATTTGACAAATGTATAAAATACAACAGCAACCTTATTAAGAATTGTAATGATTCGAAATATCTTAGCGAGACGAGATGAGAGGACAGACGAAGATCAGAGATCTCGCAAATATATACTCAATGCCAAGGCCCTGACGTTTAGTCGTCTAGGGAAAATTAAGAGGATCAAGATCCTGGGACAATCTCACGCCAGGGTGATTATGGTCGAAAGACCGTCGTAGTAGTACGGCTGCGCACGGTAAACCATGAATGACAGTGAGATCTATCTATTGAACTGGGAAGATGAGGTACACGCATTGAACAACGATCTTGACAGAAGCTTTTATAACGCGAACTATCCGTCGTTTAATCATACCTATGAGAATCTCTGGGAACTCGCCACGGAACGAATCGGTCTCGCGATCGTATTATTGCTCTTCTCCGTAGGTACCGTTTTCGGCAACTCATTAGTGATTCTCGCGGTATTCCGAGAGAGGCACCTGCACACAGCTACAAACTACTTTGTGACTTCATTGGCTTGTGCCGATTGCCTGGTAGGACTGGTAGTGATGCCAATTAGCGCGGTATACGAGGTACTGGAGAACCGTTGGCTATTCACGACGGACTGGTGCGACGTTTGGCGGTCGCTTGACGTTCTCTTCTCCACCGCGTCCATTCTAAACCTGTGCGTTATCAGTCTGGATCGCTACTGGGCGATTACCGATCCCTTCACGTATCCTACTCGAATGAGTAGGAAACGCGCGGCGATCCTAATTGCTATCGTATGGATTTGTTCGAGCGCGATCTCTTTTCCTGCGATAGCGTGGTGGCGTGCCGTTCGTACCGAGCAAGTGCCCGAAGACAAGTGTCCCTTCACGGAGAATCTCGGTTACCTGATATTCTCGTCGACAATCAGTTTTTACCTGCCGCTATTCGTGATGGTATTCACGTATTACAGAATCTATCGCGCCGCCGTGATACAGACGAGGAGTCTAAAACTCGGTACGAAACAGGTGATGATGGCCTCGGGCGAGCTCGAACTCACGCTAAGGATACATCGGGGCGGTACAACTACCAACACCGACGCTAGGCATCTTTTTCGCACCGCTTCGAGCACACCCGAAGATCTCCAAGATCTCGAGGAACCATTAACGGCTCTTCACAACAATGGTCTCACTAGAGTGCCCTCCGCGAGAATCAGCAATAAACAACACCTAGGCAAAAATTTCTCTCTCTCGCGTAAACTCGCCAAGTTCGCCAAGGAGAAGAAAGCGGCGAAGACCCTCGGTATCGTGATGGGTGTATTTATTATTTGCTGGCTACCGTTCTTCGTTGTGAACCTATGGTCGGGATTCTGCACGAGATGCATATGGCAAGAAGAAATCGTATCTGCGGCCGTCACTTGGCTCGGCTGGATTAACAGCGGAATGAATCCCGTGATATACGCTTGTTGGAGCAGAGATTTTCGTAGGTGAGTTTTTGCGCATCGCTAATTAATTTTCCAAAATCGTAGGATTAAAATTCTTTTCTTCTTTTTGCATACTCCGTCCTGTTTTTATTCTTCACATTAACGCAAGTATTAATACCCCAGTTATTGGTTTTATATATGTTTTTTAAATGGTCATGGAACATTACGTATATAAAACATATATGAATTAATGAGTGTTACCTGGAATTCGTTATAATTCATTATATCGAATAATTCATTAATTATACCAAGTATATGTTTTACACGACCGACGTCATTATATCAGAGTTTCACATACGTTGAAAACGTTCTGCTATGAGTGAACAAAATTCGTACCTACAATACTAAGCACAAGTATATCCGTCTCTTTAATAGCAGATGCTGCAGCTAATGTGATAGACATACGTAAATTATCAGGTTTACCATTACCTTCGTTCGTTCCGCGTCTGCGTTTCATACTGTACATATAACAAATATAATACGGCAATAGTACTGGAATATTAACGTGCTTACACGTCACTATCACGCCTCGATTTACGAGCGCGGGACGTATGTAGTTTACAATCAATCATCATGTTCTGACATTACTCGACATCACCAAATTGTCACCGTTATCCTAATGCGGATATCTGTTCTATTCCCTACGAGTTGTTGTACCAATCAACCGCACATAGGATATGCTATCAAGCGAACTATCAACTATGTAGAGGGTAATTTTTTTCAAGGAGAGAAAGAAAACCCGTAAAAGAAAATACTCGTGAGATTCTAGATCGATTTTAAGTCAACCCTGCGGAGCTATCTCCATTTAAAACACATACATATATGTATATATAGCCAGGGTATATACAGTGTGGGACGTATATACGGTAGGGATTTTCCACGAAGACAGGAAAAGAGAATTTGGCTAGCGGGATTGTGGGTGGATTAGGCGGAGACCCTTTAGCAAATTACTTTTATTCGCCCGCGCGAAATGAGCCTGAAGTTTCAGAAACGCTCCGGTATTTTCTTCTCTCGCCTTTACGAGCGCTACCAAAAGATACTCGTGAAAAGCATTTATCATCTTAAATATCTTCTCGACTTAATAGCAGCTATGGCAATTGAGAATTTTCTTTACAGTTTTCTTTGCACCAAGTCTTGCGATGTATTATACACACATAAGCTTTTCTCTCTTAAAATAACTAGATATATATTATACATATACTTGTAAAACAAAATGTAATAAATAGCAAAACAATGAAATTTTTTGTTACTTATTGCTCAACTTTTATTTTATGTAGCAGCGATATTAGCGTGTTTATATAATATTAATATACGTGATATGATAAATTGAGAGAGAACAAAACGTAAAAGAATTTGAGTTAATGATAAAATAGAAGCTATAAAAAGTGAAATTATTATATGATTGCAATACAATTATCGAAAGAAATAAATTATATAGCATGTATATAGCATTCGATAACGTAAATACATTCTTTGTATTTTTAGAATAAGAAATTTCGGGAATAAGAAACTGTGCTTATACGGGGGTTTCGCAAGCAGCAAGATAGTTGCAGTAGATCAACGCGCTGATCTGTCGCACCACGTGGACATGTTCGCATGTTAAATCGTGGATCGCGTGCGAAGCAAATTACACTACTCGATGGGGGCGATGTAACACTGACGTTGAATAGATTTGATACGGTTTGGCTGACGCCAAACGACGTTGTGTACAGCAATCCCACGTGTAACTATCACGCTTCACGGATATTTACTCCATGCATACAGGTAAATGTAAAATCAATAGACCGCGTACTTTCTTTATGGTATACAAGGCTGTGAGGACCTATCTTCTAGGTCGTAAAATGGATAGTTCGATCGTTCCAAACAAGCGGATATTAATAAAAGAAACAATTGCGACTTTGTACGCGAAAAAAAATCGACAATATTCTAAAGGACAATAAGCTCAACAATAACGACAAAACAAAACGAAGACGACTCGCTGATTTATTTGTTACTTATTGACAGAAAAGTAGCCGTTTTATCCAAACGATAGAATCCAGAGCAGCCTGGATTGCATTGATCCATATCCTACGTTTCCTGAAACGCCTCCGCATCGAGTTAATTATAATCAAGTCGTTTAAACAAAGTCTAGATCATTCTTTCTTCAATATCTTTAATATGCAATATATAAAATATAGGCAATGCGAGATTATAGCGAATCTTCATTAGACGGTAAACTAGTTATGATGATTGACGACTGATTTTGCCGAAATAACCAATCAGATGCCTGTCAGACAACAATAATATCGCGTCTAATAACGTTTAATTGCATCTCGATATTAGCTATAAACTCGAAACTCTGATTACATTATTGCACACTAACTCTGATCCATTACAATTGATTACACAACCTTAACGATATAAAAGTTTGAATCGATTGAATTTTTAACTTACTGTGTAATTTACTGCGACTTGTTGTTTATCTTGTAGAGGACAATACGTTCGCGAGAGTTTCTCATTAAATTAACGAGAAGACCTTTCGAGTATGATGTAATTAAAAGTTTCTACAAGTATACAGAGAGAATGCGAATGTAGGTACACGTTCCGTTCCGCTTCAGCTGAAATAGATGTGGATTCTTCCGAGACTTTCTATGACAAAACAAATTATAAAAAGTAAGAAGATAAAATAAAAAGATTTTATACATACCGAGATTCAAAGTTTCACACAGAAAACACTGAAAAAACAATTCGAAATATTTACATTATGCAAGAATACACATATAGCATCTACGTCATTTAAAAAGATTAAAAATGTACGAATTGGTCGCACTCAAACAAAAGCGGCATTACTGGAAGAGTAATCTGCCTCTCCGAGTTCATAAAATCTCAAATTTCACATTTTCAAACTTTTACTTCACATTGTACATCGTATGGATTATTTTATCTATCTGTCAACGCTACTTTGTCTGTCTACATTTCTATAAGCTGAAATTAAAAAAAGTTCATTGCGTTCCAACAAATAATCTGTGATAAAATATGAAAACGACGCATAAAGACAAGGTTATTACTCTATCATTTTAATGTATCACTGCATAAAGCTGTATTTATCTATAATACCTATTACATTTCAAACTTATTTTCTTCTCACTTAGCACAACTGCTTTTTCTTTATGCATAGATATACTTTTTGCTCTTCGTTTCTTATTGTTACACACGTTATATGTGTGTGTATTTTTAAAGTAAGAGATAGGCATTTAATAAATTTTAACAAAAGAGAATATAATAATATGTATATTACTAAAAATAACTTCACATTACGTATTGTGTTATACGTGTATCAAGATCGATTGATTAAACAAAAATGAATCTGCAATACCGAGGTTAAAAAAATTCAATAAAATCGACACGTTAAAAATACAATACGTGTTGATGTAAAAAATGATACAAATCGGAGTTTATCTTTTCAAGGAAAAAAAAAAGGAAAAGGAAGATAGCAGACGATATTCTATTAACTAGTGGACTGAGCAAAACCAGGTCACCAATCTCATAAAGACATTCCTATTTCAAGGACAACTGATTTTTCTCGTTATTGTTTCGTATATAATCACTCATGTTTCATTTTTTGAATTTCGAAAATATTGTAATATATGTATTTTCTCTTTTCTATTTAACATTCGATATGATGAGCATATGTAGGTACAAGAACGTTTTAATCTTGTATAAGATACAAGATAACAGCTTGATTTTTAAATGACAATAAAATTGGGAACAATTTTATTTTACTGCAATTTAATTACGTTGATATTATATTTTGTATTTAAACTGATCTGAGAAAAAGTATTCCGTGGTATAATATTTCTTTTCAAGAGAACGCGCGTGAAAGTTTAAAAGAAAACAAATTTAATAAGCAAATAATTGATTCAGTAATTACAATTTGTCATAAATATAACGCAATTTATTTGTAATAAATGAAAGAAAGATAAAAAAGCATAATTCGAGTTTCATTAAAAATGTTTGGAATACTGAAAATTGCAATTATTTTCCGTTGCAATTTTAGAAATAAGATTTATTATTTTTGAAAATATTATTCTTTAGATTATAAAAATTTTCGTTTGCATCTTATTTTATTGAATTTTATACTAAAAATGTGATAACTATAGCTGTAGCACGATAAAAATGTCTTTCATTATTTTCACTCAACATAATGCAATTAAGAACGTAGATATTATATTATCAACAGTGAAGACAACAAAAAAGACGAAAAAATAAACCTGTTTCATAGTAAAGTTTTTTGTTACCATCGTATAAAAGAGACAGTTTAGTTAGTCACTTTTTATAGTTGAGTGCTACACTTCATATTGTACGTTCACTCTACAACTCGCTCTTTAAAAAGTCAATAAATCAATATCTAGTTCATCGAATTGTACACATACAACAGGCGATTAAACTATATGGAATTTATTTAATTTTCTAAATAAATGCACATGAATCTATATCGTTATAATCGTCTTGAATGGATGAAAATCGAAAGTATGCCAAGGTTTTGTTTAAGTAATTGACTTTTCCTTAACGAGTCCTTTTGCGATCGACGATGCGGAATATCCAAGTCGCGAAAAAAAAAAAGGATAAAAATGAAAGCGAGATCCATATAAATGTCGCAGTGCATAGTGGCCAAGATCTGGATTGAACATCGTCGAGACGTCGCGTCGCCTCGCGTCCGGCGCCAAAACGTCTGTATACATCTCGCCGTTACTTGTTACTAAAAACGAAGAGACTCGCCTGACTAAAAGCAATAAGTAGAAAAGGGAAGGAATGAAAGAGTGAGCGGAGGGTATAGAATAAGGTAAGATCGCACCAGAACAGGCTTAGTAAGCAGTAGCTATAAATTGTAGTTACGGAGCCCACCCTATAGTAATTCTTCGACTTCCTACTTCTCTTTCTTAACTCCGTTATCTTACAATTAGTTTTGCTACTGTATAAACTTTGATTCGACTTGAATTACACGTTTCCGTAACGCGTAGAATCCAA